TAAGAGAATTGACCATCTTTTCTTTTCACCGAAGTGTTGAAAAGAACTTGAGTTATGCAAAATACATACTAACATACTTTCTTCACTAAACTTCCTCTATTTCAGGTTACACATTAGATGTAGATCATAAAATATACAAAAGAGAAATAAAAACAACACAAAACTGAATTAAAAAGGAGGATAAGATGTGGAAAAGATTGATAAAAAGTCAAGAGTAGAGCTACACGAAATTCAAAAACGAAACGGGCCCCTATTTACAGCTAATATCCACTGTGTTCTTCATAAGTTATGTAAAAAATACATCAAAATCTATCCTCACAGTAAATTTTAAATAGATAAAATATATATTTATTTACACTTGCAATACTTTACAGAACTTTTTATGAGACGGAACTCACAATTAACAAGGATCAAATATAAGGAAATTTGTTTTAGGAATCATTTTCTGCTTGTCAGAGCATTAGACAGCCAGTCCATTGCCTCTTCTAGCCCTTCTCCTTTTTTAGCTGAAGTTTTGAAGATTTGGAATGTTCGATTTTTTAGTGCATCCAGTCCTAGAGCCTGATATACCTCTGTCACGCTCATGCAGCCATCCATGTCTTGCTTGTTGGCAAGGACAACTAAAATTGCACCCTGTAACTCCTCCTCCTGAAATGAAAAGAACAATAAGGTAACCTTGCGAAACTTAAGTCAACAGGATCTCACAATCTCAAAAGCATGGAACATTTGTGGTGCCCACGCCACACAGACCACGCTCCTGAGCGTGGCTCATGAGTTGGCAACTGCGCGCCCTGCCAAGCGCCGCGCGGAGCCTTTTCCCGGAAGGTTCTCAAGCCTTCCTTCATTGTTCCACCACCGCCACACACTCCCACATCTCGGCGCCTCTGGATCCTTCTAGGTTCCTGCAGTCCCGTATAAATGCCACCGGCACAACCGGCCACAGTCAGTCTCACATCTCTCACTTTTCGCAGCTAGTCTCGCTTACACCAGCCTTGTTGACCATAGTGTTTGTTGTTCTTTTAGTGTTCGAATAAATATTCTCACACCGATCCACGCGCGTCTTATTTCCTCGTTCCCCTACACATTTATCATTATGTGCCGTAAACTATTATATTCTAGTGTTTCCATGTACGTACTTAGGAACTTTTGTAAACCTAAAATCCTGTTATATTGCTCGACAATGGGCAAAGAACAATTAAGTTTTAACTATGTTTGACTTGCACAATGATCAAAACCTAAGAAATGGTGTCATTTTTCTTTTCTGGGAGGGGGGGAGGAGGGAGGGAATTTCATGAGTAGCCTCTGATATTTCGCCAAAAAAGCAAAAAAAACGTGAGGGAGGGGCTGTAGGTTCTTTTCCAGAGATAAAGAGAGGGATTTGAATTAGATGATAGTTAAAAATAAGTGCGTTAGATAAATGTGCTCTAGGAAGAGTTTGAATGGAGTTCTTGGTTGAATTCCACTATGAAATTGTTTGATTAATATATCAACAGGTCGTCAAAAGATGTACTGAGGAGGTATTAAAAATGTTTGGACAATGATAAAAACAAAAGTTTGAAATAAAACTTACCCGGAGCATGTACAAGAGTTCATCCTTGGAGATGCCAATCCTATCTTTATCTGCTGAGTCTACTACATAGATAATAGCATCTGTGTTTGAATAGTAACATCGCCAGTATGGTCTATTAAAAGAAAAAATTGGGTATTCGTTGTAACATAGATATAGGTTATTATTGCTGGTAATGAAAAGTACATGAGAATGCAATGGAATAAATAGCTGAATCACATTCAGTAACCAATATATTGAGGTATTCTTTCTTTCAAATGATATTGATTTAGTGGCAAGGATAGAGATTTGTATGTGATGCAAAAGAGTTCCAAAGGTACAAAATTTCTGAAGTCCAAAAAATTATCTTTTGCAACATGAAATTTTACTTCATAACAGTAGCGAGGGTCTAGACCCTTTAACTCCGTTCTATGCCTCTGTTTGGGATCGAACCCCGAGTTGCAGAATCTTCCAAACCTCCACATTTTCAGGCTGGCTTTCCGCAAAATGTTCCTCTGATTTCAAAAGCGATGACCTTGTTCTTCCATTTTACTTTTGACTTTTGTCTTTTGACCCTTAAAAATTTTCACTCCTTCCACATTTCATGGAGCTATTTCATATTTTTATGCCCAACCGCATGATCAGACATTTTTTGCACCTCTGAACAAACGCTTTCCTTCGTAATTTAAGCTTGAATTTGGGAGAATGTAAAAATGCCACAATACTAGAGTGGCATGTTCTGAGTAACAGCAAATTTCGGAAAATGCTCACGATACAGGACGCTTAATACAGGTCATGACCACCACAGAGGTAATCCGAAACAGTTTACGATGTAAGTAACAGTAATGAGATCCTACGTTTACTCGGGTATTCTTTAGAGTTGGAATACAAACAAAAAGGGTCATAACTTGAGAAGGTGGGAAACGGATCCAATAATTTACGCAAAAAGTTATGGATATTAACTTGTCTCTTTTAGCTGAGGCAGTGGTTACACTTAACATTCATTTTACACATTTTCAGTGACGATAAATCTATTCTCCAATTTCCTTTTTGACCACTTACAAGTATAANCCCCCCCCCAACAAGGAATTATTTGGGAGCGCTTTCCTGAGAGACTCCATAAATGAGAGATGGTTCAAGAACTTGGAAAAAAAGAAATACACAATGAAAAAATAATTCCTAGAACACGGAGCAATACAGAAGTGGGTAAATTTACTTAACGATGGGAGGATCTTAAAACATATTGAAAGTTAGTACCAAAATGTGCCTGTTTTCTTAAATGTTGAAGAGCTATTTTGTAAATATGAAATTAAATTGTTATTACCCTGTTGTCTGAATTAAAATAAAAGAAGAATATATTTATTTATTTTTAGATTTTCCTCACAAAAATAAAGCTTTTGGATAAGAACTGATTGAAAGACAGGCCGTGGCCAAGTCTTCCAAACCTAGAGCCTGTTAAAATTGTTGAAAGTTGTTACCCTCAATAATTATTATTATCATTTCATTTACTTAACTAAAAAAAGGGTTTTTACCTACCTTATACTTGTCTGGCCACCCAAGTCCCAGACTTGGAACTTGAGGTTTTTGTAAGTAACTTGCTCCACATTAAATCCTATGGTTGGTATGGTTGTAACGACTTCACCAACTTGCAATTTGTACAGAATAGTTGTTTTTCCTGCTCCAT